TATATATTTAATGTTATGGACTGAATGTCTCCCCAACCCTAGTTCATATGTTGACATCCTAACCCCCAATGCCATGGTATTAGGAGTGGGGTCTTTAGGAAGTGATTAAGTTATTAGGGGGGAGCTCTCATGAATGGAATTAGTGCCCTGATAAAAGAGATTCCAGAGATCTCTCCCAAACCTTCCATCATGGTTGTTTATGAACCGGAAGAGGGCCCTTATCAGACACCGAATCTGGCAGCACCTTTATCTTGGACTGCCCTGCTGCCAGACTGATAGATAAATATCTGTTGTCTATAATCCATCCAGACCATGATATTCTGTTACAGCAGCTTGAATGGTTTGACACTTAACTAAAAGGAAGCGTAACGGTGCAGCTGGGCCCCAGAGACTGCTTGAATTAGAGACTTGAATGCTATGAAAGATTCGCAGTTACGATATTCTCTCTGACCGTTTTCATCACTGAGGTTTAAAACGTGACCTTAAAAAAACTAATATTGCTCATATTTTAGTTTTGCCACTAGAGAAATACTGAGAATTGTTTCTCTGCTTCTGAATTTTTTAATTCCCCTGAAGGATGTTGCCTTGCCCTGTTGATGTCAGGTCCCAGCACTGGAACAATTACTTAATACCAGAGAGATGTGATATTATTGATTCATCTTGGGTCAGATAGCTAACCCTAAATGAATCATTTTTCCAGAGACGTAGGATTTTTATAAGAAGATAGAAAGTCTTTTGTAGAACTATATAGTCTGTGCATGTGTAAAAAGCATTCCCCAGAACAGGAGAGCAGTTAAAAGTACTGAACAGACAAAATAGTGAAATCTTTTATAAGGAGAGACAAAGTTTAAAATCTAGTGAGAGATATGGAGTTAATTAAGTACAGTAAACTGTGGTAAGTGATATAATAGAGAATATATGTAGTGCTATGGCAATATATAACATAGCACCTCATATAGTCTCAGGGTCAGGGAAGGCTTGGAGGGAAAAAAGTAGAACTGAATTAGTAGAGCCCCTTTTATGAGGAATATGTAAGATGAAAAAGATGATTTGAATTATCTGTGATAGGTAATGATTTTTTTTAGCATATATGGAGTATAGATGGTTTTAGTAAATGTAAGATGTATATTTATTTAATGAACAGAGTATATCAAAAAGTGCTTTTAAAATATTTTGTCATCCATTTTTATTTTTAAATTATAGTGTGTTTCTTTGTTGTTATAGAAACTATGAGGAAACCAATCCATGTGAATATGAATAGAGACATAAAAATGCCCCTAAAAAAGCATGATTTAGAACTTCCGATGTCACCTCCCTGTGTACCATCTAAACTCTGCATTGATGATCTAGAAAGCAGGTGAGTTTTGGCTAGGTTAGATATTGTTAGGTATTTAGATGCATCATTATTGACACTTTCATTCCTTGAAAATGTACAAAGGGCTTATTCTTCTACCTCAAGTTTTTGTCTTGCTGTATTATTAAACTATTAAGACCTTTGTTAAATAACCTGATGTTCATATTCAGTATTTTATATGCATAGTTTGACTTACCGTATCATAAACATGTCTTTTTAGTAATGGTATCCACACTAATAAAAGGGTAATATGCTAATTAGACTGGGTCGACCCAACATCTTCCAGTCGTCCTGCCTTCCTTCTGGACAAAGCCACAGTGGTGGGGCCCAAGGCAGAGGCAGTTAGGGGCGATCAGGCAGGCAGGGGAGGGCAGTTAGGGGCGATCAGCCAGGCAGGGGAGGGCAGTTAGGGGCGATCAGCCAGGCAGGGGAGGGCAGTTAGGGGCGATCAGCCAGGCAGGGGAGGGCAGTTAGGGACAATCAGGCAGGCATGCAGAGGGATCAGGCGCGATCAGGCAGGCAGGCAGGTGAGTGGTTAGGAGCCAGCGGTCCCGGATAGTGAGAGGGATCCCAGCTTGGAGAGGGTGCAGGCTGGGCTGAGGGACCCCCTCCCCGTGCATGAATTCTTTGCACTGGGCCTCTAATAATTTTTATAAAACTCAGTTATAGTATGTTCCAGGAATGATTTCAGTTTCATATGTCTTTGTGTATTTGGATAGAAAAGTATGAATTTTAAAGCATATATAAAAAGCCAATTTTATTGCCCTGTCTATTTTTAATCTTAAATTTTAATTTTAATTAGTATGCACCATCAAAGACTGGGAAGCAAGGAAGAACTGGGCCCAGTTCAGGTGAGAATGAAAAAGAATTTTTATAAGTTATTTTAACAAATGTGGCATCCTGCCAAATAATATATTTTTTTAATATGAGGAAAAATATTTATCCTTTAAAAATTTTTACAGTCTTTAAAATTATTACTTTAAAAGTTTTTAATGTAAGGAACCTATATGATAAAAAATGTTTTAGTTGTCTGTGTATGAGAAACCTTTTGGAGTTCTGGTAATGTAGAGTAGGCCTGTACGTGTATAACATTTGATTCTGCTTGTTAGTTACATATTGCAAAGGATAAGTCAGTTAGGGATTTCTAACTTACATATTGCAAAGGATAAGTCAGTTAGGGTTCATGTGATAATTGGCAATTTATCCTTCAGGTATAGTGACCACATTGCTTTATTTTATATCAAATTATGATTTTCAGAATTCATGTTGATCCCAAGATTGTTTTTCTGTTAAAGTATTATAAATGATTATTTTTTTAGCAAATAATGTTTTAAGAAATTAGAAAATGTATAGATTGTGATTAAAGCCTGAAATTTTAAAGTCCAACATCCTATTATCTTCTTTCCCATTTTTTGAATTGCCAGAGTTAAACTACATCAAAAATATAACGGCAGTAATACTAAAATCTCTTGGAAACCTTTTCATCTGAATTTGTGGGTTAATGAAACACAGAGTTCCTGTCATTAGGAGATGACAAGTAGGAATGGAGCTTTAGGGTGGAGGGGACCAAGGGTGAGAAAGGTAGATGGAAGGAACCTTTTAAGTACATGCTTAAATGATAACTTCTCTTGTCTTAAAAAGTCCTGTCAATTACTGATGACTTGCCTTTCCTTGGGACTTTTTCTTCAATGTATGCATGATCTATTCTGACTTTTGTCTTCTCTAGTTTATTTTATTTGAAATTCACATAATTGTATCTTTTTTCCTATAGTTGTCACAAGGCATGGACTCATATAGAATTTTTGAACCTCAGTTCAACAGAGTAGAAAACTGCAGTTTCACACCATCATCTTTTTCTGCAGAACTATCTTCTAACAGAAATGTTACAGAACAAAATTTCATCCCCAGAATAGCACCTAGTCCTCAGAAAGTTGCATGTGAAAAAAAACAGAATGAGCAGGTATCTTTGAATCATTAGTTCTAAGTATTTTATATCATTATATTTTTATGGTATTCTTTTCTCTTTTATAAATTAAAAAAATCAGTGTGAATTGCTATAGGTATAGCCAAATTAGGAGATAAAATTAAGTATAATATTTCCTCTTAAGACAAAAGCTTAATTCTCTTTACTACATAATGAATCCAAACACTGGAATGTTCTTTAAAAATCTTTGAAATCATCTTCCTGTTATAAAATTGTTGATAGTGAAAATGAAAATTCAGTATATTTTATAATAGTTGATACTTGTTTGTAATCACAGTAAATGACTGGTTGGTATGAAAAGGGTCTTGTGAATAGTAATACATAATTTCAACATGTCATAGTAGTCTGTTAAAGTATGAGCTGTGATAGCTTGATTCTTTTTATGATTTGACAAATGAGAACTGGTCAAATACATGTTAATTAAAATTATACAAATAGGAATCATTGCTAATAATGGAAGGCTGGCGATTTGCCTTGGTATATATATGTCAGAGAAAAATTTGGAGGGCACTCCTTTGGTTCAGATGAATCTTCCTCTATTTCAAGAAGCAAGAAAAATATCAAATAAATAATCTAACCCTATGCCTAAAAGAACTAGAAAGAGAACAAGAAAATCCCAGAGTGAGAAGAAGGATGGAAATAATAAAGATCAGAGTAGAAATAAATGACAGAGTCTAAAAAGCAATATAAAAGATCAATGAAGCCAAGAGTTGGTTGGAACTCTCATTTCTTTGTTTCATGGCTTATAAATAAATATACTACAGGTATAAATTATTATTGCTAGATAGATTAGCATTGGGCCAATATAAAATCTTACATTTATATGGTACCTTCCACATTAACAAATAGATTATCTCATCTGCTTTTCACATCAGTCTCCACATATTTTCCCCTGTTGTACTCAATGATATTCAGAAAGATTAAAGTAGCAATCTATAAAATTAATCAGTAAATGGAAGAACTGAGATAATTACAGCTATTTCCTTGGGAGAAAATATTATTTTCTGTCAGAGAAATTATTTTTTTTTAAATATATTTTATTGAGATTTTACAGAGAGGAAAGGAGAGAGAGATAGAGAGTTAGAAACATCGATGAGAGAGAAACATCGACCAGCTGCCTCCTGCACACTCCCCACTGGGGATGTGCCCGCAACCAAGGTACATGCCCTTGACCGGAATCGAACCTGGGACCTTTCAGTCCGCAGGCTGACGCTCTATCCACTGAGCCAAACCGGTTTCGGCCTGTCAGAGAAATTTTAACTTTTCTCAAGATTCTGGTGTCCTGGGTATTTCTTTAATTTTTTTTTATTGTCTAAAGTAATTTTTTTTAACTTCTGAGAAAATAATTAGCTCCACAGGGTGTCAACTCTGTTAGTTTAACAATTATTCAAATATTGATAATGCTTTCTATGTTAGAACAGTGTTTATTTTGTTTTCAATAAGGACATGATTCCTTTATTTTAGACTGAAATCACATTTTTTTCAATATAGATGTCCACTTAAATGGCATATCATGATATGTAATTTTAATTGCTCTATGAACATTTACCATTTTGTCAGGTTCTTCCTTTCTTTTTTTTCCAGCTCAGTAATGTCAATTATTCTAATTACTTGTTTTCCAAATTAAATGAACGTGAAGATGCTCTTAGTCCATCATATAAAACAGCACAAATTGGAACATTATTTGAAAGATTAAGCAGGTGAGCAAAGATATGGCAGGAAACAAAGAACCTGCAGCATTCTTTCTTTGAGTTATTAATCTGATTTTAATGGACACAAATATTTTTAGTTAAAAATGCAAGCAGACCTAAATAATACTAATAGAAAATATCCACTAGATTAACATATAGCATTTAATTAAAATAGTTTTAAATAATTATTTTCTAATGGGCACACCTACCTTTTATTTATGTATGTAAAACTATTTTGGGCCAAGACATTTTGCACCTGTTTCATAACCTCCATGAATCACTAGTTTCTTTTTCTGTGTCATAAACATAATTTCTCTTTCATTTATGTCTATTGATCAATGCCCCACTTTTATTTTCTTGATTTCTGTATATAAACCCTAGTTTATTGTTTTAAATCCATTAAACTTGAAAACCAGTTTGAGTCACTCTTCGTAATTGTGAAAAAACCTTGACTCTGTAATTCTATTCCAGTCTTCCTCATTTTATAAAATAACACTCTATTCACTAAGTTGCTTAAACCAAAAGTTGTCCTTGATTCCTTCCTTTCTCCTTCAACTCCCAATATCCATTTTAACAACAAAATATTGCCAATTCTGTATTCTAACATAAAATTATCTGCTCATGTTTCTATGTCTACAGTTTCATCTCAGTTTAAGCTACCACTGCCTTTTGCCTAGCCGTGGTCGGCAAACTGCGGCTCGCGAGCCACATGCGGCTCGTTGGCCCCTGAGTGTGGCTCTTCCTAAGCCTTAGGAGTACCCTAGTTAAGTTAATAACCATGTACCTACTTATATAGTTTAAGTTTAAAAAATTTGGCTCTCAAAAGAAATTTCAACCTTCGTACTGTTGATATTTGGCTCTTTTGACTAATGAGTTTGCCGACCACTAATTGCCTAGAGAATTGTTACAGCTCCATAACAGTCCTTCTTGTTTCCGTTTTGTCCTCAGATCCATTTGTTTTACAGCTTTATTAATGTATAATCAGCACACTACAAACTGAACCTATTTAGAATGTGCACTTTAAGTTTTGACATATGTCAAAGATAATGAATATAGTATTCATCATCCCTAGTAATTTCTTTGGGCACCTTTGTAATTCCTTCCTCTGACCATGTCACATCCCTTACCTCATTCCAAGGCAATTACTGATCTGCTTTCTGTATGGAGCTCCTTTTGTGGGAAGGTTTTTGTTTTTGTTTCTTTAACTATCATATTTTACTAGATATAGACTACTAATGTTTTTATTTGTTTGTTGAGTGAGCTTTGGTAGTTTGTCATACAATGAATGTATCTTATTTTTATTAATTAAAAATTTAAATGCATGCTATTTTTTATGTTGTAGCATTTATTGGCTTACAGTTATTTATAAAATCTCCTTTTTATGTATTTAAAATCTTTAACATCTGTAGTGATGTCTTTTCTCTCATTTTTAATATGGTAAGTTGTATTTTTTTCTCCTTTCTCCCGGTTATTCTGAATAGAGGCTTACCAATTTTATTTACCTACTCCCTGAATCATCTCTCAGTTTCACATATTTCTTTTTTCGGGTGTGTGTATGCATGCGCGCGCACTCATTGAATTGTTTCTTTTTCATTTTAGAGAGGGAGGGGGGGAGGGAGAGAGGAAGAGAGAGAATGAAAGACAGACAGACAGACTGATACCAATTGCCTCTTGTACATGTCCCAACCAGGGACTGAACCCACAACCTATGTATGTGACCTGGCCAGGAATCGAACCCACAACCTTTTAGTGTACGGGATGATGTTTTAACCAACTGAACCACACTGGCCAGGGCTCACTGAATTATTTTTATTGTAACATTTTTGGTACTTCCAATGCCATATGTTTGCTTTGCATGCTAGAATTCATATGCTAAATAAAGCATTAAATCTGAAATTTATTTTGGCAGTTAGGACCCTCCCTGATGTAAGTCTGACTATTACTTCAAACTTCCTGCTTTTACTCAAATTCATGACTCACTTTCTACAGCATGACCGTGGCTAGCCTCTCTGTAATACAAGGATTTTTTTTTTCATTATTGGATTAGCTCCTTGGCTGTCATTTTTACAGTGGTATTGTATCTGTTAATTGTTGTTGGTTAAAGAAAATGTTTCATACTTTCTTATTTTTTATTTCATTGAATTCTGCTTTTAGTTTTATTTCCTTTTGTCTGTTTACTTTGTATTTAATTTACTCTTTTTTTCTTGTGGCCTAATATGTGGTCTATCCTAGGAAATGTTCTATATGCACTTAAGGAAAATGCATTACTGCTGTTTTGGGGTGAAATGTCCTAAAAATATCAATTAAATCCATATAGTTAGTGATTTTCAACCTTTTTTATCTCATGGCACACATAAACTAATCACTAAAAGTTGACAGCACCCCCCCCCCAAAAAAAAAATTGATCTGACTAAAATATGGCTATAATTTTGATTCATTCACACTGGACAGCTGTTGTTGTGTTGGCTGTTGTCATTTTTTTGGGTATGTTCTTAAATTTTGTTTTGTTAATCCGCACCCAAGGATGCTTTTTCATTAATTTTTAGAGAAGAGTGGAAGGGAGGGGGAGAAACAGAGAGAAACAAACATTGATATGAGAGAGACACATTGATTGGTTGTCTCCGGCACATGCCCTAACTGGTACCTGGTCTCAAGCCTGCAACTGAGGTACATGCCCCTAGACTGGGATCAGACCCTCAACCCTTCAGCCTGTGGGCCAGCACTCTATCCATTGAGCAAAACTGGCCAGGCTGTGTTGTCATTTTTTTAATTTGACAAACGAATGGAAAAGAGTTCAGTGACCCTAACTAAATCGCCAGGTATTGCATGTTTTAAAAATTCTTGTGGCACAGCAGTTGAAAATCGCTGATCTAGTCCAATGTGTCATCTGAGATCATGATTTTCTTGTTGATTTTTTATCTTGGTGATCTATCCTTTGATGTCAGTAGGTTGTTAAAGTCCCCTACTATTGTATTACTGTTGAGCACTTCTGTTATATACATCAAAATTTGCTTTATATATTTACATGCTCTACATTGGGTGCATAGATATTTACAAGAGTTATATCCTTTTGTTGGGTTGATTCCTTTATCACTAAGAAGTGCCCTTCTTTGTCTCTTTATAGCCTTTGTTTTTTGTGGTTTGTTTTTTTAGATTTAAAAAGAAGTTAAATCTATATTTACCTGCACTGTTAAACATTACACAAAACACATTCAAGTGGCAAGTAATTATAATGCAAGCTCTTGCATGGCAATCCAAATTTATTGAACTACTGATGCTAAGTTATACAAAATTGCACCACTTCAATTAAAGCTTTAGTTTACATTTGGCCACCTCTAAATAGTTGTAACATTCTTGTTGTAGACCCCCACTGCACACATAACTATAAACATTGTTCTCTATGGAAACAAAAAAGGAAACATATAATAAAAAATTTGAAAAATCTGGACATTTCCTTCCCAGCAGATATTAAAGGCAATGTCTTTAATCTGACATTATACTGAAAGGACTATTGTATTTTTGAAGACAAGATCACTGTCTCCATAGGTTTCTTAAAAATTAAAAAAAAACTATGTTGGTGTGTTAATCAAATCACTTCTTTGTACAATACAATGATAAAGACCTTGATTTTCTTAAAAAAAATTACAATAAGCTACAAGTTCAAAGAAGTGAAGTTATCTGGAGTAGTCTATATAGGAGCTCTTTGGACTTTCTTTTATTATGCTGAAATAGTGGTGCTTTTAGGATTTACATGATTGTACTCTCCAAAACAAAATATGGGGCCTATTACAGTACACAGTACACTGTTTTCATACATGTACAACATTGGTGGATGAAAATATCTCTTAGCAGTAATACTGGATTGTAGCCTCTTATTTTACCAGATGCATACACTAGGGCTATTATATAAGTAAAAATAAACATGGCTTAGAGCTACAGTGCATCCTATATAATAAAAGGCTAATATGTAAATTGTCCCCTTGACCAGGAGTTTGACCAGGGGGTAGGGCTGATCAGCCACCCTCAGCCCCTCTGCCCGGCCAGCCCAGCCTGATTGGAGTGGGCTGACCAGACCTCACCTGTGCATGAATTCATGCACCGGGCCTCTAGTTTAATATATAAAAGCAGCTGACATCATGACTTTTTTGTGGGCCTTCCCAGGCCACGAGTTTTTTTTATTTGCCCCACTAGGTCATAAAAGATCTTATTAACATTTATTTTTTATTTTTCAGAGGATTCTAAGAATGCACAGTTGTTCCATTGTCTTGTTAGATTTTGACCTTGTTCCTTTCCTACAACTCTTTCATCTTCCAAGTCACACTTATTACCAACCAGTATTATTGGAACATCGTCAGTGTCTTTAACTCGAAGAATCTGTTCTCTCAGATCTTGTAAATCATTAAATATGGACTGTGCTGTGATGGAATAAACTAATGCAAAGCCTTGTCCATTTTTCATATACAAATCCCTCATTGCTGTAAACTGTTCCATTCCTACAGTATCCAAGATTTCAAGCATACACTGTTGTGCATCTACTTCAACTTGCTTTCTATAAGAATCTTCTATCATAGAATCATATTTTTCAACAAAAATTCCTTGAACAAAATGTACAGTCAGAGCAGATTTTCCAACGCCTCCTGAGCCAAGAACAGCTAGCTTATATTCATGCATGGTGCAAACTTGTCAAAAGCTAGTACCTCTCACACTGTCAGCGGGTCCCCATAGCCAGCGTTGCTCCATGCGTTGTGCTCCCTCTGTGTTACTGTCCCCCAGTGCCACCGCAGTCCTGCACTGCCAGCGCTCCAGCTGGTTTACATGCCTGACTCTGGGCGAGGTTTGGTGGTCTGTAGCCTTTGTTTTAAAGTCTATTTTATCTGACATTGGGAAGCATGAGAGACTTGGTTGGAAAGTTTGTAAGGAGGAAATTCGGAGAAAAGGGAAGTGTGTAGAAGGTTGTTTTCCTTATTTATTGGAATTCTGACTTGGGAGACTTAGGGGAGTGTGGAAGG